TATTTTTTTCAGATTTGTTTTTATTCTCGTACATAATTGTGGTCAAATTGACTAGTGGTAATGCAGACTTTGTACTGACCACCCACCCTGTACGAAATGTGAACAGGCAGACATATAGCTGGGAATACTCTCATTAACCATCTTAAGATGATTTTTCACAATATGACAGATTTTGACATCAAATACAATGTTGAATAAGAGCAATATTATGATTGTTAGAACTAAGGAAGACAGATTTCTAATTTCTTCCTGTGTTGCCCCAAAGGAGTGTAATGACATTAAATATTTAGGCCAACACATAACCACTGATCTATTAGATATTAAGAACAGTATCAAAAGTTAAATGCATAAATTAATTGTTGGCTCACACATTTAAGATGTGTAATGAGTTTCTCTATTCATAGCCTTTTATACCTCCATTGCTACAGACAGTGCAGCACATTGAGACTCACTGTGGCCTAGAATGAGGATAAAACTGCAGCACAAGCCAAATCAGTGTAAATATTGGTGTACACATCTGCTCTGCTGTTTTAAGAACTATAGTTAAAACACCAAGGACCTTGGAAAATATCTCAGCAACTGAAGGCCTATGGGCTATTAGGATTGACATAATTTTTTAGGTTCTCTTTTTTTGTTACCTTACTATTGGTCTCCAGGTTAGTGGATAATAGATGTTCTGCTTTTAGCCACTTAGATATTTAAAAACAAAATGAGCAGCACCTCTGCACCTCCTTCAGAGGTGCTACATGGACAGTTGTGGGTGTGGTGTACACTTTGTAATAATTCTTTAGTATACAGTATTACTTGTGTGGTGTAGAAGATAATTATTTAAGAATGTAATTATGTAAGAATGTTAACACTGTTATAATCTTTTTTGTATAATACTTGTGTGGGTAGAAGTGAATCATTTACTGCTTGCAAACCAATGATGGTAAGATGATGTCATGGGGTAGGCCTGGATAAGTCTGACTTCTTCCTACTCCATTCAAGCATGTACTAGGTATAAGCAAATTGATATTGGATTAGCATTTGTTGGATATGTGTAAAATTATGTGTGTTGTCATGTCAACTGTCATTACATGCTTGAAAGAATAAATCAAATCAAATCAAATCAAATCAAGTGTGTGTGGAATGGATGTGTGGCTGTTGTTTATAGTGATCACGATGTTCCCTGTCGGCCAGTGTGAAATCATTAGTTATACTAAGTAGTTCGTCACTGTTGGGGTATCTTGATCCCTCATTCCTCGCTTCTCCTTTTTTCTTCCACTCATCTCCCACTCTTTATGTTCCCTATCTGCTACCATCCACTTCTGATTTGACATTTTCTTTCTGTCATTTCTCATTCTGTCATTTTGCACTCATAGCTATTTTCCACAAACGTTTTCACTTCCCTTCTCCTCATGTTTAAGCTGAAGAACATGAATAATGAGGATACAGATGTCTGCTGAGATTATTGTCCAGCCTTGGGATGTGTGAGTACTCCATATGTGAAAGAGAAAAAAGGCATGAGAGCAGCACATCTTTGAAAACTGAAGATTGAAGAGTAAATAAATAAGCAGGCAAAGCAGTCAAAAGAAACCAAGGTTGCATAATGTTTCTCATTGATACTGAGCTTATATCAGGCTGAAGATGATAGAAGCAGGCTGAACGAATGCAGGGGGATGTAAGGGACAGGAAGGATGGAGGCCAGTGTGGGGGGTCGAAATGGGGTTAAAGGAGGAGAGATGATTGCAAGTGAGGGTAAAAGAGAAGTGCATGTCTTTGAAGAACAATAAACTCAGGGTCTCTGTCTATGCCTTTCCTGTTCTCTTTCATTTGCTTTTCCATCTTTTTGTAGTACAGTCTCTCATTGTCATTGGCAGTTGTCTCAGTGTCAAAAAGTAACTCAGTCTAATTTCAGTCTGCTCTTTCCTCTGCTTCTCCCATTTTTATACTCCTCTGAATGCTTCTTATCTTACCATGACTGAATTAACCCAACGATGAGAATGAGAAACTGTGCTGGGCAAAAACTAGCAATGGGCCCCCACTGACAGCCCACCCCCTCCACTCGATGCTTTCTGACTAAATAAAAGTAAATTCAAGACTTAAATAAGTTACTTAACTATTCTATCTATAAGTCTTATGGTAATCTATCTTTCCATCCTACAACCTCCACTAACTCATAAAAAGGGGTTTCATTTAGGTATGTACAACATGTCGCTTGAAGTTTTAGTTACATTGGAAATCAGTGCAGAAATACTTAATGTAAGATTTCTGTAATATCTTGACACTAAGTCAGGGAAAACTGCAGTCATACATTAAGTACATGATACATTACACTGCAAAAATGACCAGAGATAACATTACTTGTTTGTGCAGGGAAAATAAAGAGGTGCCATAAATCAGGTGTTTCTATCTTGATAAAATGCTTGATTTTATCTTGAGGGTGATGTATTCTTCTTTTCTTACATAACATCTTACACACACATGCACACAAAATTAAGCACTTTTAAATGTGTTTGAGTTATTTCATTTTTGATCATTTGGAGGAAATTTTGATAATAAATCATGTTGTATCAGTGTAAAAGTAGTCTATGGTTTGGTAAGTATTTTTCTTGCTGTGAGTTTACCCTTGTGGCTCTTTATCTGTCTCTTTGTCTTCCATTCACTTGTCTCCTACTGATTTCCTTGCTTTTCTTTGCACCTACCTTGCCCTCTGTCTTGTTCACTCCCACTCTGCCTCTTCCTCAAAGGAGACCTGTTCTAAATAGAAATTCCCTCTCTGTCTCCATAGATCTTTCTTGATGACAACTCTAGTCAACCACAGACAGCATAGTCACCCCCTACAGCAATGTGCTTTCTCTTTCTCTGTACCCACAACCTTAGCTTCTTTTCCTTATTTTTTTTAAACACAGCTTTCCTACCCTCCCAGTTTTTCTGTGTATTATTTCAGGTATCAAGACAATCCATGTGAGCCCAGTCCCCTTCAGCTCTAACATAGGTTCCTGTGTTTCCATTTTATGTATAATTTTAATGTTTTTTTCTCTACTTTGTTCTCCATTCACTGCTCTCAAATCTGAATTTTCTAAAACATCTCTCTTTGATGTTCTCAGATCTTACTAGACGCTAACACCATCAGGCTGGGCAACATTCCCCACGGTAGTGCTGTGGACCCCCTGGAGGGGGCGCCGGCGGGTACCACCTACACCAAACAGACTGTGTTTGAGCTGTGTGCCTGCGCTAATGGCAAGGTCTACCTGTCCCCAGCTGAGAAAGGCTCTACCTGCCAAACCACCAGTAACTTTTGTCTCTGGAGCTGAGAGTGGGAGATTGTCAGACCCATAGGACACGTGGACTAATGGAGTTTGAAGCTAATGCTAGCCAAAAGACTGAATGAACGTGGATTATGGACTTGGTTGGAAACTAGCACGAGCTACCAGACCTATTCCACATGGATTGTAGCATGGTGAGAAGTTCATGCCTGTTAACCAGTCAAATAGTATGGAATGGAGTATGGAGGACTTGGCAGGAATCTGATGCTTGCTAAAAGACCAAATCAGCGTGGATTGTGACATGGTGTGAAACTAATCCCAGCTAAAGGATTGAATCAACGTGGACTAGAGCTTTGTTGGAAGCTATTGCCAGCTCCCAGACCAAAATGCTATGGATGTCTCAGTAGCTATAGTCAAGATGACGGATGACTTGGTGGGAAGCAAATGCCGACATGGTTAGCTGGGGTGTTTGCTAAGACCACTCGGCGACAAAGATGGACAGTCTCACTCCAGGGCCCTCACTGGATATCTTTGCCATTAAACTGCAACTGTGATGGTTTTTGTGCATCATAAGGATTACATTTGGAAGTTGCCTGAGAACAACAGACTCTCTTACAAAAAAAGTGAGTTATGTGTTCACTGCATGACCAAAATGCCCTGGAAAACATTCTCTTCCTTTTGCTAGGATAAAGATATATGGTGATGAACTGTGAACTAGCCAGCAGGGGAAACAAACATGGACTCTGGGGTAACCTATCAGTGAGGGCTTTGGTTTAGCCCTGCAGGTAGCACCCAGATACATGAGAAAATGGTTTAATCTAGTAGGAAGCTAAGGCTAAGCTAAGGCTAACTAATGGACCAATCTATACCAGAAAGGCCTTCCCCCTCCTTGCCCTCTAGTCTTTCAACCCAGATGATGACATTTGACCCTTTTTTATTAATCTGCACCTGATAGTGACTATGTTTTGTGACTCCACTTTTCATAGGTTAACTAATCCAGTTACATTAATTAACTGTGCTTCTTCCGTGCATTCTACAGCTTTCCCATGTTTATTTTCTTTTTTTGCATGTGATTTCCTTTTCTTTTTGATCTTTTTCTTTCAGATTGAATTCTATATAATCTTCTTTTTTCCCCCCTTTAATCCTTTATCTTCCCATATTTTGCTGCTGCTCACATTTATCTTTTTTCTCAGCTTTAATTATTTTTGTTCTGTCTATGCACCTTTCGCTTGGCTGATAAAGAACACGGGCAATGCCTTTCCACCACTATTCTGGTTAAAAACAAAAAAGAGAAAACATTGTTCTACCTGCTTTTTCCCATGTTTTACTAACTATCACAGCTGTACTAGATGCAGGGTTTCTCAGTCTGTTCTCACATCTTTTTGTTTTTGTCTCTTGAGAGTCTGTCTGGGCATATGATGCTATGTTGGTCAGTTACAGAGGGCAAAGGGAATAAGGAAACAAAGAGGAAAGTGAGTTATAAGTCATCTGTTAAATTAAGGCTTACAACAGACCAAACTGCTTGTGGTAGGGAGCCAAACCTCTGAACAGGTGGAGGCATCATTGGGCAAAACAACAGACCAATTTGGTCTTGTTATGTGGTATTCTACATATTCTTCCAGTGTTTCTTCTGTCTCAGACTTTTATCACTCTTTTTGCATGACTTTTGTGCTATTTTTGCCAAGTCCTTGCTCTTCCTAGTCAGTCACTGAAAGACTTTGCTGCCCTTTGCTCTCTCTTTACCATGTTTGTTCCTTCTTCAGTTTGTCTTTACCACATTATAGTTACCTCTCATTACTCCTTGTTCAGACTCTTCACCAATTTCTATGTATTTTCCAGCAGGTGAATTTCTACATTTCATCTTATGTTGTATCTTAAACATCACTTACCAAATGACACATTGACACATCTTGATGTTAATTCTATATCTTCGCCATTTATAAAGTTTAGTCTCCTTTGGCCACCACATACACAAATACCCCTCCACTTTCACACTATGGCCCTTTTCAAATGTTTTCCAATCCAAGCAAGAAAAGTCAAGAAGGTCTTTTATCTTTTATATATTCAGTCAGTCTGAGGTGAGAGGATCAGTGTGGATGGCCTCAAGCTGGCTAATCTAGCACCCAATCTCTGCAACAGCTAGAAATCATAGGGCATCAGCAGATTTGTGTGGCAGACACCTCCTTGGAAGTAACTGTGGAAGGATTTTGTTGTGTGTGAATGGACCTAGCTGGAATAAGGCCCTGAGGCGTTCTATTTAAAAAAAAAAAATGACTCACAGGTGCCTTTGCTGCTGTTGGTAAAAGCACATCACAGTCTGAACGTTCAACACTTCCCTCAGTGGACCATCTGCAAGTGTCTCTGGACAGACTATCTATTTATCTTTTTGTCTACCTATCTGTCTATCTATTTAGTTTGGTCTTTTCCCTCCCCTTCTCTCCTGGGTTTGTAGAATTCTCAGTATATCCAGCAAAAAAAAAAAAAAGTACAATTTAATCCTGGTTTAAACTTTAATTTTCCAGTATGTTTCCTTTATGATTTTATTCTTGATAATAAAAAAGCACAAATTATGCCATGTATATAACAATACCAATAAAATACAAATAAAATAATATTGTTTTTAATGAAAATCTCTGGGGTCTTCACTGTCATGACATTTGTAATTGTTACATGATTATATTTTAAACTAGTGCCTGTTTGCTTTAGACGATATATCTAACCGGTTTATCTGAAACATTTATTAACATATTTACTAATTTGGATACTAGTCCTTGTTTTTAGATACTATGAATACTTTTCCTTCATCAGGAAGAGATTCTGGTTTTCAAATTTTAATAAAAGGAACGTGTTGTGTCTCTTCTTTCAAGACACTGTCGACTTTCAATATTTAACCAAATCCACAATGATTACTTGACTTTAACTAAATGCTCTGAGTGCCTGAACCTAACCATAAAAACTAGCACTTACCAAATTGTCAGTGAATATTTTACTCAAATGGTAAGTAGAAACATTTTACAACTTGGCAGACATGCACTGAAACATTTCTTCATTATACTGGCAGAACATGAAATCCTGGTTGCATTATATTTCTTTCACAATATATTTTCTCTTACAAAATATAATATAATTTCCCAAACACCCATTTCTACCACTTCTTAACTTTATTAGTACCTGTGCCTTTTGTCTGTTTGTCTGGCCATGTGTCCTGTTAATGGCTTCCAAAATAGTTTCAAAACTGTAGTGAAATGTACCCAACTACAGTAAATCATGTGTATCTGCAGCTTTATAAACACAAAACAGCTACTGTATAACAATTTGTTCTTAAAAAGTCTAAATGCATGGATTGACATTGCACATTGCCAAAAATGGTAGAGATCAAATATAGTGTGTTTCCACATGGCAACATTTTTGAAGTTGGTGTTTAAGCATGCAAGGATAAATATACATAAATAAAGTTGTTGTTGTTTTTTTGTTTGTTTAAAGTAGAAAAAGTGTTACATTTATGAGTTTTTACCTAGATTATACCAGGGTCATGGAACTGCCTTATGATATTATTCTCCTCAGGAGGCCTAAAATGGCCTCCTAATAAGCATGTTTATTCCGATTGCGGTATTTTTGATAACAGGCTTCAACACAACTAATGGCTATGTTGTTATTTTGGGGCTGCAGCAGCGAGCGTCTGATATGGCTGATGGGAAAAAACTGTGGTGATTAACCACGGCACACAACGTCCTACTTTCTCTCACTGTTTAGCTTTTTGTTCCGGGTTTGCAGACTTTTTCTCTTCTTGTTTCTGTCTTTTATTTATTATGTACTAGTGACTATGTAGTAATTACATTTTGTTTCAGTGGAGGAAGGTTAGGTAAGTACTGAATTAATCTCATAAACACTGCTGATTTAGGCATGTTTTTCTCTTTCTCTCACTTTTTTCTTTTTGTCTATATCCCTCTCCTCACTCTTTTCTAGCATGAATTCTTGTAAACACATCCAAGTGCATGCTTTAAAACCAGGATGCTATACACAGCACTCATTGGCCAGCAGTTTATTTTATTGCCATTTCCAAATGCGTCCACTAACTCCTAAACCTTTTAGCAGTAATGTAATGACCTTTATAAGAGTAAGCTGTATTTCCTCATTTTAATGTGCGTGTCTGTGTTCAGCATCAATTCACACATAACATCTTTTTATTTTACAGTGTTCCAACCTTTTTTTCCAGCTGCTACACTTTACCATTTGTGGTCTCTTTATCCATTTTCAAATGGAACCATTGAAAATATGTTGACAGTTTTTATCACTCTGCAGCTGCACTTTGGCTCTATCTATAAAGACAAATTGTTTGGAATCCTATTTTGCAGCAATTCAGGATGCATTTACAAGAGTAGGGGTAAAAAACCTGCCCTCTTGGAGGTACATATGAAAATGTGTGACTCGTGTTCATAAAACTACCAAATAATACTAAGAGACTCGGAGTTGCAAAATGTGCAAAAACTCACTCTGATCAATGAAAAACAATCTAAGCATAAGACAGAGTAAGAGCAGCAGTAATGTTTATCACCTTTTTCTGACACTAACCAACCTCATTGTCAGGTTCATGGGGTGCTGAAGCCTCTCAGATATTTACTGTGTAAAACCACAGAGATAAGCAATTAGCCACTGAGTCAGAGAATACAGAAATCATATGTACTGACTTGATCAAATGCCATTCTTGTCAGTTGACATGAAGTAATACCCAGTGAATTTCCCTTTCAACAACAGAAAACACTGAGAGTACTAAATGTATCCATGGACCCTCTAATTTACACATTCAAGCTTGCAAATTTTAAAACTAATGAATTGGCAAATTGAATAAGAAACAGTGCATCCATTTATAGTATCTTAAAGGTTTTTGCTGCAAAATCCATTAAGAGCTCATTTATCACATGAGTTCAAACAAATGAGATTCCACTTCCACTGTGAGTTAGCTAACATGCAGCCTAATTTGGTAGTTAGCTAGATGGACAACGAAGCTGCAGTGATTTATTCATATATGTGTATTTATTCTTCTAAACCTCTTGAAGTAAAACATTTTTAAAGCCCCTTGAATGGCAGGATGCAGGTAATTGAAAGAAAAAGTGGGGTGGCTCATTAGTTTACCTCTCCCTTCCTATACTGTCAATATTGTCCTAGATGGTTATGTTAATGTTGGTCAGTTTTAGTTGTTTTCTGCCTCAGACCATGCTGTCAGCAAGGCAGTGTTCATGGGTTATCCAGAGTAACTGCAAACAGAACTCCCTTCATTTCTATTTTAGATATAGAAGCAGAAAATACCTCGGTGACCGTTTCATAACCACATGTATTACTGTAACCATGACTATGAAGGCCTGATATGCCTGCATGCCATTGTGGTGGTGTTATTTCAGGAGGTGCTCTTAGGTCGGAGGTCTTGATGACTACTCTCTCTACTCTTCTGCCAGAGCCACTAGCATCGGCCAGTTAGTGAAATGGAAGAGAAGGATGTGTCAGAGGGGGATGATCAATCAGTTCAGAGCACAAAAGTGAACTTGAAGAAGATGAGCTGGATGCTGAGTCAGCACAATGAAAAGCATCACAGCCAGGACCTTGAGGAAGATGAAGTGCTCAGTATATGACTGAGTACAGTCAAGATGAGCATTCTTCATTCAGGATTAAAAAGGAAAAAAAATACAATTCTGAACATTTTTGTTTCTAAAATTAAAAAATACATTTTGATAGGTGACTAATCTGTAGGGCAGCATGTGACATCAAAAGTACTGTACTTAATGCTAAATGGTATTAACAGGGTAAATAAAATATGTATCTTTTGAGAAGATGTATAATAGAAAGCATGTGTTCAAGAGTTAAATGATCAGCAGTGATGGACCCTTCCCAGCTGGACTTAACTGAACTGGCAGTGGGAAATGAAATTAAATTATGCTTTGTTTTGTTTAAAATCAAACAATCAAGAATCAAGGAAATGGGTAGCTGATTGGAAATGCTAAGTTTTGAATTGCTTAAAATTAACTTCCTGTCCCTCTTCCATTTGACAGATTACTCATCAAAGTCCTGATTGGCTGTTGGCTGACCACAGTCAAGCTGTCCCTTACACCGTGAACTTGTTAACTTGATTGCTCTGCTTTGTTTTTTACTCGTGTTTTTGGTTTTATTCTCTTTTTATACTGTTCTGCACATCAGATGCCACTGGGCTGGAATCTAATTCCTTGTATTTTTGATAATACTTGGCAATAAAGTTTATGCTTATGGTAAACATCACTAATGGGCAAACGTCACTCTCCCACTCTGGGCCTGATTAAATACCCCATCTTGCACCGAAAACCTGCTCTGGTATGTCTAAGTAAGCATGCAACCATGCTTAACATCCATTTGAGCATAAGTGGAACATAAAAGCAATTTAATGGAGCACAGGATGAACATGAGAGCTACTCTGTGGAACATAAGATGTTGTCAAAAGCTTCATCAAAGGTCCTGTGTTCACGCGTCACCTCTAAGTGCTTCCCATAATAGCATCTTAATGGCCTTAATGTTTACCATCCTGTCTGCCAGAGATCATCTTATGGATGACCCCTGTACTTCTACGTGTTAAGTGCATCTCCTGAACCCGTTACGCTACCAAATAGGCACACATTCAACATCATTTTACCCTACAGGAGGATATACAGTATAAATAAGACATTACTGATAAATAGACACTTTGTCCTTTTACTTGTATGACAGTTGGTCCGTGGTTGACTCACTGTGTCGCAGTGTGAAGTGGCACCATTTACTAAGCCGCCCTGACAAACCCCTCCTTATTTATGGCACTAATGTACATACACACACATGCAAAGTAGAGGCCCTGCGTTGTCAACATGTGATGCATTGTGGAAGTCATTAGAGATATAATATTACCTCATTTCCTCCTCTTACCTCTAAACACATTACCACAGAGATAAGATTGGTTTGGTTAATCAATGCATATGAGTAAGAAAGAGATTAAGCGGAAAGAGGTGGAATGATGGTGGAGAGGACATAAGTTGTTTACTTCTATGAATGGCCAACAGATTTTTGATCATTTCATAACCACAACTGTGGATGGGTTGGGAGGAGTGAATTTCAGTATCACTTTGTGTGGTGACTTAGTGTAGGTCATGGCCACTTCAGTTAGCTTCTCTCACCCTTCATAAATTTAACTGCCTGCATAACATTTGGCAGTTTTTTAAAGGGGGGAGGGTCCAAGCTGGCTAACCAGAAAGATGCTTCTTATGTTTCTTTGTAAG